GTACAGAGCGTACAGGCCTCTTGGGACAGGTGGTAGATCATGCCATGGGTTGTACGTCTGCATCATCCGTTGGCGTTGTTTTGCATTCCTGTATTGCCTTGGCGTAGCAAACATGGTCCAAAATCCGCAATTTGTGTGTAAGTTCACACCGACGTGCAATTTGTTGGAGGTATCGTTCGATTATATTCATTGCTTTGGGGCTTTCGCGAGTTTTCTGTATATGCTTAAGCAATCATTCATAACACGCATAGAACGGGGAGCTATATGTCCACAGCCGTCGGTGCGACCCAAACACTTCATTTAACCCACGGTAACCAGCAACACAAAGAGCATCTGCACACCCAGTAAAGGCCAGAACGTCACAGGCGAGCAGAGGTCTCGCTCAGACGTCGCCTGAAAATAAATGGTCGTGCGCCCAATGGGTGCATGACATGGGCTAACTACACTGCTTTTAGTTACTTCTAGTTCCGGTTCTAAGTACACTACACTCTTACTGGATTGAAGGAATTAATCTCGAAATCAGGCGGAGAAGTGTGCTACAAACGTCCACTCAAATCCATTGTTTTTCACGCAAAGGCTACTCCGACACATCATAAGTATTGAGACATGGGAAAACGCCAATTTTCAATATGAGTGTAGGCATCAAGGATTGTGGCTTGAGGTTGAATTCTCATTCATTTTGACTTATTTTAAATATCAAAAATTAAACCATTGTCGTACAGGTAGTTGTCGCTGTATGTCTTTCAATAGTAATGTTTCACGACCTGATCCCACAAGCTAGTCGCATGCCATGGGTTAAAGTGGATGCAGCTCAAAGCATAGCACACAGATTCAGCTGATGTATTTCATTAGCAATCTTTGTGCAGCCTTGGACCGAGGTAATGACTTAACAGCCATCTACTTGGACATAAGTTAATTTTTGTGTGACAAGATATGGCATAGGGACCTCCTACTCAAATGCGAGAACCACTGTCGTTTGTCAGAAACTCTCCAAAATTGGATAGAATCATATCTTCCAGACCGCAAATAGATCAAATCAGACAACGGTTTAAGCACACCTAGGGCAATGCATGGTGGGTGCCCACAGCAGTCGGTCTTGAGGCCTCTCCGCGCCTTTATGGATCTCAACGATCCAGCCGATAAGGCTGACTACAACATGTTCTTTGCCGACGATACCACAATATACACAGCACCCTCACACGACCCGGCGGGCACACAAACGTCCCTTTAACACGACTTGCACAGCATGCAAGAAATCGGGAAACAATGGGTCATCACATTCAACGCCATGCAAACAATGCATCACGCATTCACCAACAGGAACACACATGACGCACCGCAGCTGGCCTTTGATAGCCACGACCTCTGTCCGTTACAAGCTACAGTCACCTTGTAGTGACGATATCTACTGACTTGCACTTTCATCAGCAGGCTGGTTACACCATCGCCAAAGTCAGTAGAGCCCATGGGCCTCTATCTAATATCGCGGCTTCTGCGTGGGTCTGGCGTGTCCACCGTCGCTGGGCGTGGGTCTGACGTGTCCACCGTCGCTGGGCGTGGGTCTGACGTGTCCACCGTCGCTGGGCGTGGGTCTGACGTGTCCACCGTCGCTGGGCGTGGTCTGACGTGTCCACCGTCGCTGGGCGTGGGTCTGACGTGTCCACCGTCGCTGGGTGTGGGTCTGACGTGTCCCGCCGTCCCTGGGTGTGGATCTGGGGTGTCCCGCCGTCGCTAGGTGTGGGTCTGACGTCCACCGTCGCTGGGCGTGAGTCTGACGTGTCTCGCCGTCGCTGGGTGTGAGTCTGACGTGTCCCGCCGTCCCTGGGTGTGGTCTGACGTGTCCCACCGTCGCTGGGTGTGGGTCTGACGTATCCCGCCGTCGCTGGGTGTGAGTTTGACCTGTCCCGCCGTCACTGGGCGTGCGTCTGACGTGTCCCACCGTCGCTGGGTGTGGGTCTGACGTGTCCCGCCGTCGCTGGGCGTGAGTCTGACATGTCCCACCGTCGCTGGTTGTGAGTCTGACTTGTCCCATCGCCGTTGGGCGTGAGTCTGACGTGTCCCGCCGTCGCTGGGTGTGGGTCTGACGTGTCCCGCCGTCGCTGGGCGTGAGTCTGACGTGTCCCCCTCCGTTGGGTGTGGGTCTGACGTGTCCCGCCATCGCCCTGCGTGAGTCTGACGTGTCCCGCCGTCGCTGGGCGTGAGTCTGACGTGTCCCACCGCCGTTGGGTGTGGGTCTGACGTGTCCCACCGCCGTTGGGCGTGAGTCCGACGTGTCCCGCCGTCGCTGGGCGTGAGTCTGACGTGTCCCGCCGTCGCTGGGTGTGGGTCTGGGGTCCCGCCGTTGCTGGGCGTGCGTCTGACGTGTCCCGCCGTCGCTCGTGGCGTGAGTCTGACGTGTCCCACCGTCGCTGGTTGTGAGTCTGATGTGTCCCACCGCCGTTGGGTGTGAGTCTGACGTGTCCGGTCCGCCGTTGGGTGTGAGTCTGACGTGTCCCGCCGTCGCTGGGCGTGAGTCTGACGTATCAGTCGCCGCCAGCTCTCGCAGTCCCTGCTGCCGGCCATCGTGGAGCTGGCCGAGGACACCAAGTGGCGCGTCCGGCTGGCCATCATCAACTACATGCCGCTGCTGGCCGGCCAGCTGGGCGTCGAGTTCTTCGACGAGAACTGAACCAGCTGTGCATGACGTGGCTGGTGGATCACGTGTTCGCCATCCGCGAGGCGGCCACCCGTCAACCTCAAGAAGCTGGTGGAGAAGTTCGGCTGCGACTGGGCGCAGAACGCGGTCATACCGAAGGTGGTGGCCATGGCGCGCGACCAGAACTACCTTGCACCGCATGACCTGCCTGTTCTGCATCAACGTGAGTCTGCCGCGCTGGGCCCAGCGCGGCCAGCGCTAGCTGCTGCGCCACGTATCCACACGCCCTCTCTTCGCTCCGTTGTAAAAGGACACAACTTACCACTTTTACGACGTTAATATGTGACGTGGATTCAAAGTCGTTGCGTCTCTCTTTGTAGATTGCCTGAAATCTGCCCATCATGTTGAGTGATCGTTTGGATTGGCGTGACAGAAATAAGGGTCGAAATGAGACACACGCTGTCTATTAACCCGTTAAACCATTGTCCGTTCGCACCCTTGGGCAGAAGTGGTCCCTTAAAAATGTCATGATAAACCGGAAGGTGGCCCTAAGGTCTTGCGCAAAAATGGCCCGGAGCCGACTGTGATCCAAAGCTACCTTTGAGAAACATTCCATACATTCCATACACACCGTCTTATGGAATGACGAGTGAAATCGAAGTGAAGTTAGCGTGCTAAGTCTGCCGGTTTACCCATCAGCCACAGCGTGAGACCAGCTGTCAGACCAGGGGGCGTATGGATACCAGTGCGATTACATCTTGCTGCCTCCGTTGAATTGTTTTCGGTCCCGCGTCGTCGTTACGGCCCGTGGCTACCGAATGTCCCTCCGCATGTATGAATTCCGCCGCGCGTGTACGTGATGTACACGATACTTGAAAACATCAATTTCATGGTCCCAGCCTGCCCGGTTTAGGCGCCAGCGTAGTGTATACGGGATTGATTTCGAAAAACGTGACATTGCTCAGCCTCCACCAGGCCGTTTTCCTCTGCCATACGAGTTTTTGCAGCGGGTCTGAGCTGCCGCCGCCGCCTGCTGCCGCGCCCTGACCGCATCCAAACGATGTATACTGACACTCAGTTGAAAACACCAACGCTACACACCCAAGCAAACATTGCAAAGGAATCGACGACACGACACGCACTTCTCTGTCATCTCCAAAGAGAAGGCTATACAGTGTAGCCTTCTCTGTAGTGCGCGGATTGAAGTAGTGCGAGGATTGAAGTAACTGTGAGATCGAAACTTGGCGTTTCCGGAACATTTTTTTTTGCACCACACGGCACCCGGAAATGACGCGTTCCCTCAAATTGGAGGCATTCAAGCGTGAAACGTCCTGACGTAGCGTGATGGCAGCTGAGCGGTCTGTCGATTGGGTGTGGCCGGCTGCATGCCTGACGCCTGGCGACGTGTGTCTTGACCTGACCTGACTGTGACCTGACCTGCGTCGTCAGGTCCTGGCGGAGGCCTGCGGTGCGGAGATGACGGTGAAACTGATGCTGCCCACTGTCCTCGGTATGGCGAGCGACCACGTGGCCAACGTCAGGTTTAACGTGGCCAAAACACTGCAGAAGATGTGCCCTATCCTGGAGTCGAGGTGAGACACTGGGCAGGCTGCTCGCCTGACGCTGCCGGATGGCGACCAGCGGAGGGGGGGGGGGGGGGGGGGGCTAGCGCTGCCGGCTGGCGCTTGTCACAAACGTACGGCAGGAGCGCGCGGCCGGCGCAGTGTGTGCAGCCGGCCTGCCGACCATCTCCTGTTGGTGCGGAACCCGTTAGCCATGTGCACGGACGTGCGCAAAGCTGCCGTTCACCTTGTAACTGCCGCCATGGGTCCGTGGTTTGTCGCAGTACGGCATTGCTTGTTCACCCTGAACGGCGCGTCTTCTGCAGTGTACCACGTGCTGCCCGGAGCCGTGGCGTTTCGTTCGGGGCACGGGTGTCTTGTCCTGCACCACTCTACTGTCAGCGGTCGGCCCCAAACGAGTGTTTCGTGACATGCGGCCTAGCCACGCCGCCGACGCAGAGCCCTTCTGTTTGCAAGCGTGGTGCAGGCGCAGGTGAAGCCCTGCTGGAGAAACTCAACTCGGACGCCGACTTCGACGTCAAGTTCTACGCGTCGGAGGCGATAGCGGGTAAGCGACAACTAATACCACATAAACAGCTAGTCACCTGGCTTGTGTGAAGGAGCGAGCATTCGCTGATCATTTATAAATGATGTCCGTGGCCATCTTGCGAATGAACGCTCAGCAGGACTTGTTTGGCAGATAACTGTCTAATGGGCACGTCTGAAATAACTCTAATGGGCACGTCTGGGTGAGCAATTGCGAGAGGGAGGGGGGGGGGGGGGGGGGTGCAGGGCCGGTCCAGGCGTGGGCTCCCTGACCTGGAAGAACTGCCGCGTGTTGGCGTCTCTCAGCGGAGCGTCTAGTGTCTAGCGTCGTCCGAACCGTGCGGTGGTCACTCCCCATTCTATGCAGGACCCGCCTCTCATTTTCACGCTGGGATAGGCTGGCTGGCCGACAGGCGCCGAGCGAGGGGTGGAGCGCCTGGCCGCGGCCAGGTCGGGCTCAGCGCGGCGCTTCAAGCGGGGCGCCGCCGAGCGCGTGCGGGCGGATGGCAGTGTATGCGTGTTCACGTGCGTGGAGCTTGTCCTGTGTGCAGCGCGCCCAGGGCGCGACTTATGTGGGGCGAAGTCGTGGATTGCGTGCGGCGGGACGTGGCTTACGTGCGCAAACTGTCGGAGAACTTAGTGTTTAGCAGCCTGGTACCGCGGACCGCTTTCGTTACGACGCGATGCGCCGATGCGGATGCTAGGGCCGGACGGGCCCGTGAGGTGTCTGTGATCGGTGGAGGGAGAGGGGGGGGGGGGGGGGGTGATCGGGTGATAGGAGACTGGCTGACCGGGCAGACCGAGAAACGAGCGTCGGGCTTGAGTGAGTGGGCAGGCGCCAGCACTCGCCGTTTCTATGGCAATCCGTCGTGCATCCGTCGTGATTTTAACATTGGTCCTTAATCGAGTGTATCGCAGTTGCCAAATAAACCGTTATGTCAATGCCTGAGTATTTATTTAGCCTGCGTGGCTTTGAACAATGGCCCCCGTGCCGAACGCCCCGCGCAGCGAGCGGCCCGCACAGCATTGCACTTTGAGACACCAGGTAGCGAACAGCACGCGTTTGTTAAGTGTCGCACACGCTGCCACCCATTAAACACGGACATAAAACGGGCAGGCGCCTACACAAGCGTTATTCCAGCGTCGTGCTGGCCCGCATGCCCCGCCCGGGGCCGCCATTTGAGCTCGGATTTGTGGAAGATTGGCGGCCGTAGTGGTGCGGCAGTCTTTGGTAGTGTTGGCGCCGCCGGAGCCGCTCCACACCTGTGACGTCAAGCGCGCGCCCGCCGCGCCGTCAGGCCATGCGCTGGTCGGCGTACAGCAGCGCCCGCTCCAGGATCTCCTTCTCGCCCCAGCCGCAGGCGTGACGGCCAGCCGGGCGCGCGGCGTCAGCGCGCCCGGCTCGGCCAGCAGGCGGCGGTCGTCGGCGGCCGGACCCGGGTACAGGCGCAGCAGCAGGCCCAGCCGCGTGTGCAGAAAGCGCCAGGCGGCCGTCTCCAGGCCGTCCGGCAGGCCGGGGCACTCGTCCGAGCCCAGCTCCGACACGTTGTCCGCCAGCAGCCACTGGTCCAACGCGTCTGGCGGCCACACGCGTACGCTGATGTCGGGCTCTGCCCACGCAACAGCACAGGCCACGCCGGCGCCCGTCCGCGCTCACACGTACTATCACTAACCCCCAAAGCGACAGCGCGCGATGCCAACTGGTACGTACGACGGCGTTGCATCAGAAACTGATGGAAACGGCCCCTGAGTCGCCGATTAACACACAAATTTAACACAAGCTGGTCTAATGACGTCATGGGTCGGGTTCGCTTTACCACACGGCCTCCCCGCCATTCCCATACGACTAGTACGTGGACCCACGCTCCTATGGCTTCGCCCGTCGTCTGGTCTGACCTGCGTCCATATTGAAGACGCGCAGGAAGGCGAGCAGCGAGGCGTCGATGGGCGCGCCTTCGCTGGTTGGAGGTTAGAAACGGCCGCTGGCCGGCACACCGAGTCGCTCCAGCAGGCTGGCAGCGCCGCTGGTGCAGCGCGTCGCCCCGACTCACTCCCAGCCGTACGGCCACCGCGTCGTGCTCGTTGTCGCGGTACACGAACCTGCCGGCCGGCGGCGGCGTCGCGTGACGTCACGTGGCGACCGCGACCCGGCCGCCGGCTGACACAGCAGGTGACGGCCACTGCCGAAAGAGGCGCACGGCGCACCACCCGGCGCTGTGCTCACCGGCCCGCCACCTACCCGTTGTGCAGCAGAAACTCGGCGTTGGGCCGCACACCGTAGAAAATGAAGAACTGCTCGCCAGCCTCGAAGTCGCGCGAGGCGTAACACACGCTGCCGGCTTCCTCTTGCAGGTAGTCCGTGGACACCTGCAAGCGTTAACACCAGGTGACACCTGGCGTTAACACCAGGTGACGCAACACACACTCTCGACCTCCTCCACAGTGGGTGTTTACCTCGAGCGATGAACTTTACACGCCTCTTCGCATGAGCGGAACATCCTGCCGAATACTGGCCCCAATTACCTCGATCACACGTTCGCAAGACAGGGTCGGCGAAGGACGGCGAAGGCGGCACAATGTTTTCGTCGATGCAACGTGCATGACAGCATCCTATCGCCAATTGCAAAGCTACCGAATTAAAGTGATGATGATGATGATTTGTATTTTAAGCCGCGCCAACATCAAAGGTCATTTCACGCCAATGTCGGCTGTTAGGCAATGCTTCTTTTGGACTAGAAAAGAGTAAATACAGCTGAATGAAAGCCCAACTTCTTAAAGAAATAAAACAACCGACTACAGTAAAGTAATGCAAAGTCGTTTCTCAAAATGTCACGATAAGCCAGGGAGAGACATTGTCGCCAGACATGACGCAAACGTTTTTCTATGAGATGTGAAGAATGTGATAAACGGCCATGAATATGTCGGGTGAACTAGGAGGCCAGACACGACTTCAATGGGGCTCCTATCGCCGCCACGGTGCCTGTATTCCGAAATCCGAACCTTGGGCTTCCTCACCGCATGCACCGCTTATGGGCCGCTTGTCCCGCACCGAGGGTCCCTACTCACTATCACCGTCAGGGGCCCTTGACTGACAGAGCTGAGGTCCACCATCGCCTTACGAGGCTCTCAAGTGACACAGGAGGCTCTCTGGCTAACATTCTGGGATCTTGGCCTGTTTCAGTTTGGCTAGTAGGTCCCTGACCTACACACGCCTCCGAGGGATGCAGAACAGATTCTATGGCTGGCGTTCGCGTGCCCTGGCTGTGACCTCACTGTACTGCCGGCACGGGCCCCTGTTCAGTATTGGGGTCCTCTCTCCGGTGCCGGACCCCGAGGACGGCAGTGGGACCCATCGATTGTTCAAGGGCCCCGAACAGCTTCGAAGGAGGTCACCTGACTGACATTCTGGGGTCTTGGCCCTGTCCCTGATCCTCTTCCCAGACTGTAGTCCCACTGGCGCGGGTCCCGGGCAGACAGAGGGCCTCTCATTGCCTCAGGGGTCTCCTTGTGACGTAAGAAAAGCTACAGGATATTCCAGAGACATGGCTCTGCTGCTGTTCAGATGATAGGCCCCGGCTGGTACGGAGCCCTGTTCAATGCCGGGCATCATCTGTTCAATAGCAGGAGCCACCTGTTCAATACCGGGGTTCCCTGGATGGCAGAGGACAACTCTTTACTTCAGGGAGCCCTCGAGCGACACATGAGGAGCCTCCCTTCCAATCTAAGGTCCTGCTCCAGGCGCTGTTCGGCATGTGGGCTTCAGCCCGGCACGGGGCCTCTGTTTATTGTCTGGAGCCCCCTTCTCAGTTTCGGGCCCCTGGTCGAGAGGGGAATATCAACGTTTCAGAGGCCCCGAATGCTCCGTTCAGCCAACAGGAATTTTGGGAGCCCCGGCCGATCTTTCGGGCCGGCCGGCCTCAGCCTTCTAGCCGTCCTTGGGGCCCCTGAACCCTCACGGGGTAGTAGATGGAGCAGCCCCCCCCCCCCAAAAAAAACCCCTTGTATCCGCCCCTGGTCGTAATACTATAGAAACAAGCACATAATGTTGCACAGCACTCTTGCGACAGGAGACGTAACAAACACCAGCAGAAGTACCACACACACACGCGCACTGGCAATTTCCTTGAACACGTCATTACAGCTGTGTTTACACCGGTAACGTGGCACACTCACACCACATACTCACTCTGTCAGCTCCCTCCCGCAGGTCGTCTCCGGATCCCTGACTAACACCAGATTAGCACTGGGAGAAGTGACACACACACGGACAGTGTCCCTCTGCAGATGGCACACGGACACCGGGCCACGGCAGCCTCGACCTGCAGACAAGCCGGCGCCGAACGCTGCTCACTGACCCGTCCGTTGGCGTGGTTGCAGAGGTCCCAGAAGGGGATGAGGCCGGGCACGCCCTGGCCGCGGTCCTCCAGCGCCGGGATGTTGTTCATCCGGGTCATCACGGTGGACGCCGCCCACCTGGAGGGAGCAGTTGGCGTGATAAAGCGGAACGCCTCAGACCATGCGGCGCCCGACTCGCCGACACGTCGCTCAGACACAGGGGACAGCTGTAATACGAGCCGGCCCGTCGTCAAGCGCTTTGAACTGTAGGTCGGTTCCCCTGACCTGAACAGCGCCGATCGACCCTGCTGACGGCCTGCGCCCGTGCCGTCAAGTGGCCGGCGGCGGACCGAAGCCAGGTGAGCGCGCGCTACACCCTGCCGAGACGGCACCCGTCACGCCGCACTCTGCTGAGGCCGCACCCATCACGCCGCATCCCTCCGGACCGTACTCGTCACGCCGCATCCCTCCGAGAAGGCACCCGTCACGTCGCATCCCTCCGAGAGACACCCATTACGCCGCATCCCTCCGAGACGACATCCGCTACGCCGCACCCTGCCGAGGCGGCACCCGTCACGCCGCACCCTGCCGAGGCGGCACCCGTCACGCCGCACCCTGCCG